GTTATACTAAAAACCATTGAATTGTAAACTTTAAATGGGTGAGTTGTATGGTAATCTCAATGAAAAATATTAGCATCCATAATTTCCATATTAAGGTATTCACCCCCCCCTTTCAAAATTTTTTGGCCAATTTTCCAATTCTGATTGTCTTTGGTTTTTTCAATATTCCAAAGACACATACTTTTAGTTAAATCTATAATCTGTTCCTTAAAATGAATCCTTCTGTGGCCCTAATTTGGAAAATTCCATCACATGCAGATAGTCACTGATGAGGTCTGCTTTACGTTCCCTCTTAGCCCCCTGGATTTTGGTGTCCATTATGAGGCTATAGTCTAATGTTCTCCAAACAGGTGCTTACTGAATCAATTACCTTTCCCTTCCTATGTTCTGATGGTTCCTTTGCAATATTTTACATATACTAACATCTATTTCTGGGCTGTGATGACTGATATTGCTCTGAGAGTTAAATGTAAATGAACAGTACACTTTTAATATTTTTTAGCTTTACAATATGGCTTCATACTTAGTATTAGAAGACCTCATTAATTTCCTCTTTCAGTGTATTCCTAGCTATTCTTGCACATTTTTAATTTCTGATGAAACTCAGAACAATTTTATCAACCTCTTGAGAATGTGACTGGACTTACCTTTAACTGATGGATGATCTGGGAAGAAGGGACATGTTTAAAGTACTTATCAGCTAAGAGCACAAGGGATTTTTCCATCTATTCAGGTCTTCAATTTTCTTCATGTAGGTTCCACACACCTTACGTTTGTCTATCCCTTTTACAGTTTGTTGCCATGATGAATGGTAACATATTCCTATGATATCTTAAAACTATCTTTTTGCTTGAATCTGGAAAAACTTAATTTTGTGCTATCTGGAGGCAGTTTGCTAATTTCATATTAATTCTAAGATGAGATTCCTAAGCGGTCTGCTTGGACAATCTTATCATTTGCAGTAATGAAAACAGTCTTTTCTTTCCCAATAATTATAAATCATTGCTAGTTTGGGTCTTATTGCACCAAGAAATATTAAATCAATATACTGATGACAAGCCCTGCAAACTGTAAGAAAGCACACATTAAACATTCAATCTCTGACAGGCTTATAAAGGATAGGGAAAGCTCTCAAGCTTTAGAGAAAGATCTGAGGTTAATCCATTTTGTCACTTTCTGCAGTCTGTTTTACCTGACATGGGGCTGAAGAGCACACAGAAAGGTTTAAGAGATCAGGTGAGAGGACGTTTGGAGGACACCAGTATCTGGGAGAGGGGGGTGGTTTCCCTTCTCCGTCAGCTGTGCCCTGCACATGCAAACCACAGCAAGTAACAGATCCTGTTTGTGTTTGTGTCCACTGAGCTGGAACCGACTGGAACACTGCTTCCCTCCGCCAGCAGACACCAGCTGAAGGTAGTAAGGCCCTAGAAGGCAATCCTGGCTATTAAATTGCATTCTTCTCAAGTCCCCGTCTAAATCTTTCTGCATAGTCTGTGTTAAATTTTCAGCCTTTGCCACACCGTTTTCCTCTCAAACAGTTTTGCCTGGAGAATGAATCTTATGTTTTTAATCACTGCTCACACACAACATTTGTGAAGCCGGGTACCTGAGGGTTACTGTAGATATTAAACCAATTGGCTGTTTTTCTGTTCAACTTGAGGGGTGACTCAGGTCTCAAGGATTTGTGAGCTTGTTTTGCAGATGAAAGAGAATGCCTACGGGGAGGTTACCATCACCAGATGGCTGGCCCTCAGCAGCTACTGAAGCCCAGAAGTCAGACTGCCCAGGGGCTCATCGGGAGTGACTCCCTTGTTTCCACGAAGCTCCTCCTGCCAGGCCCCTTAGCTCCATAACCCCCTGCTTTCTGTTCTTGGGGAGGTGGATTAGAGCGAACCCAGGCTCCCACCTACTGATTTGGCCAGTTCTAGTAAATCATTCTCCATCTCCAACCACCAATGTCTGTGTTTGGCGTACTGTCCATCGGGCACATGAATTTGAGACTAACAGTATCATTTGTTCGTTACAACATACCACATCAACTACTTAATTTAATATTTGAGAGCTGGTAGCTAAGGAAAAAAGCATAATTTGTAGAAACAAGGCATTGATTTCTGAATCGTCATGCCCACATTCAAAAGAATAAAACCGACTGTAACCATGTTTGCCATTTAATAGTATTGCATTTATTTTATATTGAACATAACAAGAAATGATTTTTATTTTTCTAAGCCAACTGAAAAAGTCCAGTTCAATTGACCCTACAGATGAAATGAGTCAAAATATGGCTTCCTCCCCAACAAATAACTACAAAAGAAAATCCACTTATGTTATTTCATTTAAGTGAATTGTACTGGATGAATGACACAAATACATGTTTAGAGACAATAATGCTTCACATTTGCAAGGCTGAGCAGCTGTTTACCATGGTCTGGGAAGAGCCCAGGTAATTGCCTAAAAAAGAACTGTTTTTTGTTAACTCTTGTCCTTAATACGTGAATCTTGATGCAGTACTTTCTTAACTAGAATAATCCTTTCATCACAAAAGTGCAGTTCATGTGTGTTTAAAGATTTATTTGTGAATGATTTCTAATAATTCCCTACAAAAGACCTTAAATGACAGTTAAAGAAATTAAGTGTTTAATAACTGACATACATGAAGCAACTTAAACAAGTTCTATAACTTTCCCAAAGAACTTGTATTTTGCTCCTCCTGAATGCACCATAGACTTCCTTTTGAAACTGTCTTTTTGACTCTTCAAATTGCTGGTCCCAGTAGTATGATTTTCATCTGCTTTAAGTTATGCTGGATAGTATAAAAATAACGAATTACATACAATCCCTCTAAGAGGCATTAGCAATAGGGTAATGTTGGGACACGTCTCAACAAGGGCTATTCCAGAAAGATGAGGTACCACAGCTACAGGACAGATGGTGGGTCCACAGTTGCAGCATCGGGCTTGGGAGAATGGCCTCGAGAGTCCTATTTTTATACCTACGGTAGAGAAAAGTCCCTCAAAACCTGCCAATTTAAATGTAAATCAGACGCAGGCACACCACAATAAGAGTACTGAGATGAATGACATGAACTTTAGATATTTACATATATATTTTTAACATTCAACTTTGCTTAATTCAAAAATTCATATAATTTAAAGCAAATGGGCATGATGTTAACAACCAGTGACTCCAGGTGAGGGTTATATGGGGTCCACTGTACTATTGTTTTCAACTTTCCCATAGATTTGAAAATTTCAAAATGAAAAAATGTCCAGAAGACAAGACACCATGAATAGAGTGAAAATACAAGGCACAGACACAAAGTGTCACTGAATATCACTGGTTTTAGAGCAAAAATGCCCTACCTTAAAGGTAAAATCTTTCTGCTAAGAGAGAGCACGGGAGAAATATTTCACATGCAATCAAAGAATAAACAGGTTTAGACAGTCATGGAGATGGAACACTATCATATAATGGCCTCACTGACATCATTTCTTGAGTTTTCAAAGCAAGTATGTTTTTTTGGGTCCAATATTGGCTGCCACATCAAATCATGCAACACACAGCAATCCACTGACTTGCACGTTTACAAATGATGATAAAGGTTTAAAAAACGTGAAACTTTCGTTCGGGAGGGTCAGTATAACAAAGCTCTCCATAAAATAAAAATGTTTTCTACCTTTGAGGAATAAAAAATGTTTTCTCAGTTGAATGTCTGAAAACTGATATCACAAACTTCTCATGTACCATTTAAGTGGGCTATGTTTTAAAAATAAAGTACATCATTTTGATTCTTGTTTAAAGTCCAAGCTAAATGATAAAGCTTCACATTTCCAGTTAGATCATTGGCTGAATGGTATCAGTTTAGCAAAAGAGCAAGTTTTGAAAAAAATCTTCATTTACTTTGAGATATGAGACAGCACAATAGCAACCTCAAATCATCCGTCTTTTGGCGAAAAAGTAGAGTAAAAACAATATGCTCTGAATAATACCAATACTGAAACCATCTGCCCCAAACCTAACATTCCCTTTAGGGTTCCCAGGCCTTCATGCGGAACAACGGCACAGCTCTTCCCTCCTCATAGGTTCTAGGACAGAAAGAAACTTACAAGGGCTAAGGAACAACCAACGGGCAGGGAACATGAAGAAGAGAGGAGAGCAGGAGCCAGTTCCTTTCAAATGGAGACAAAGGTGACATAAGCATGCAACACCCTGGGAGGTTGGACACAAGTGGATCCCAAGAGCAACAGTCTCAATGTCTAGGAATAGTGCCCACTACTGGGTTTTAACATTCATCATAGGCCTCAGAAATTGTCTAAATATGACTCCTTCTCTTCCCCTCTCCCATACCAACTTCACCTTTGTGTCTTAGTTCTCCACACTAATTATCGTGGATCGGATCACTCAAGAGAGCTGAGGCAGCCACACAGGGCACTAGGAAAACAAGTTTTTATACAGCTTGATAGCTAGGTCTAGGGAGACTGAAGGGAACAATAGAGAAACAAATATTTGGAAAAACTGAGTGTTACTCTGTAGAAACTGGTAACAACAGACAAAGATATCTTAACTTTTCTAATAATCTAAGATGATATCTTTTCTAATAACCTAAGACGATTCATAGAATCAACTAAACCGGAAATAGCCAGTTTTTTGTTTTTAAAAACAAATGCATATTGTTAGAAGCAAAAAATTTGTCAGAAATATTCAGGTTCAATCAAGCCCATTTTTCAAGTTCCCTGAGATGACATACAGATACACTACATAGAGCAATATGACAGCAGAAACTGAATTATTTAGAAGGATCATTTAAAGTCAAAATTTCTATTTCAACAAATATAACCAATAAGATAAATTACATCCTTACGATTGGTTGTTGCTATAAATGTATTCAAATCAGGAAAACTGTCATATTTAAAGCTCTCAGAGTAATTTTGGCACAGGTCAAATCTTGTTTTAAGTCCCTGAGCACTTTTAATAGGCTGGGTTTTTGTGTTTTTTTAAAGTTTTTTTATTTTTCCTTTTTCTCCCCAACCCCCTGGTACATAGTTGTATATTTTTAGTTGTGGGTCCTTCTAGTCGTGGCATGTGGCACGCTGCCTCAGCATGGTTTGACGAGTGGTGCCATGTCTGCACCGAGGATTCGAGCCTGCAAAACCCTGGGCTGCCGAAGCGGAGCACGTGAACTCAACCACTCGGCCACAGGGCCGGCCCCAGTAGGCTGGTTTTTATATTCGGCCTCTTCCCCGGCCACCTCTCCCGACAATGCCTTGCAACCTGCCCTGGCGTCACATTAACTCTAGGTCAACATTTAATGCTGGAACCTTTCTAACTGACTGTGTTCTGCAGAAACCATGTAGCTTCTCTGACATGAAGAATTAAGAGTCCCCACCTGCTATAGTTTTTCTGATGTTTGTTAACAGGGCAGAAGCATCAGAGGGGGCACCTCTCATGCATCCTTCTGATTGTTTCTAAAATTGTCTACAACAAATGGTCAGTGTTTTAACGTCTCCAGGGCTTTATGCCTCAGATGCTCATCCAAACACTGGATGGCAAAGAGGTCAATGTCCGTGTCAAACTTATTGGCAAACAAGTGGTGCATGCGCAGCATCCAGTTCAAGTCACCTGCTCCAAAGACGCACACAGAACGAACGTGGACCCCGCTGCAGGGTGGGTAGGGGGCACCCTTGGAAATGTCACCTTCAAAGTACTGCCACTTGACAAATCTAGCAATCGCATGCATGTCGGACATGTCATACTTATGGCTTAAGGACAGCGAGCCTGGGACTTCAGGGATCCGCTGAAGAGTGGCCCAGAGATACTCATCCGGGCTGTATGTGTCTTTGGCCCACTCCATAAACTTCTGGATTTTTTCATTCTCTAGAACGTACTCCACATACTCCCTACTGACCACAAAATAGGCACTGCCTGAAAACAGAGGCGTTTCAAGAGGAGGGTGCACTTTGTCAGTCCCTGTGTTTGTCAGCTTTCCATTTACGACTGCATAATGCTTTTTCCACCTTTCTTTTTTATTGGATGGCATTCTCTCAGTTTCTAGGTTGTTTTCTCCCATTAACGACTTGAGCTTCCTGACAATTTCCAGGTTGGTTTTAATAGGAAAATCCATACCACAAAGATTGATCAAGTACTTCCAGTCTGCACTCATTCTGTAGAGGTCCTGCATGCAGTTGAGGTCAGCCTGAACGCGACTCCATGAGGCGTACACCACGCTCTCCAGCTGACTGGCCACAAAGACATTACTGAAACAGGATGCGATGCCAATCACCGCCGCCAAAAAGGAATCCTCTGATTTTCTGTCCACATGAATGCAATAGAAATTCTGTGGCATGTAGATGGCCCTCAGGAGCCTGTCAAGCATTTCAATTTTGTGATGAACGACTATAGAATATGCTATTGGAAACTCTGCCTCTTCTTTACTAAGGGGTTCTACAATATATTTGCGCCTCTTGATGAAAGAAGTACAATCATTGGTCATGTTTATGTAGTCGTAGGCTGTCCACCGGGGGCGCTTTCTAAATTTCACTGTTAGAATCTCAAGCTTTACCTTTTGGATTTCATCGACATCACCCTGTAAAACTTTGGTGCAATTAATATCACTACTAGGATTCTCGCCAACCAGCTCCAAATGTCCAACGCTTACAAATTCAGGCTTTTGATGAATTCTTAAAACAGAGAAGGTGACTACGGAAAAAACAAGCAGCAAGAAGTAGTATTTCGTGGGATAAGAAAAAAGTCTTCTCCGCAGTAACTTCCTCAGCATCTCAAACAACAATCGGGGACTTTCCTTCATTAAGGGCAGTCTTCTGGGCTTCAAGCAGTAATGGTTTTCCCTGTCGTGGCCTTGAGAGTTGTCAGTTTGCATTTATCAGAAGTGTAAAGACATCTTGAAATGGAAAATAGCACTAAAAGAAAAATAGAAAGGATATCTATGAATACAGTCCTTTATAATATCTTCCTAGGCTCAAAAACTGTTCTCTTTGCTATTACGTCAGATGTTTAAAACAAAGTGGGTCAATCAGAGGAAAAGGGGTGGTGTTACAGGAAACCAGTTTCCAGTATTAATGCCAGATTTAAAAAAAAAAAAAGTCAAGTACAACGATGTGCTAGAATATCCTACAACAAGCATTTTACCTCTCAGGTATATTGAGGTGCAAACACAGTTGAAGACCAAGGCTATAATGACTGAACTCTCCATAGTTGGTGAGTTTTTGATCCCATGCCATTTCTAATTAGCATCCCTCACCTTGAAATCATTACTAATCTGGATTCCACCTGACATTCATTAATGTCCATCAGTTGGCATCAGCAACCTCAAATATTTGAAGAGATTGGATCCATTCTGCTTTTCCCAATTTCAGATTGGGGTGTGGGGGCTGGTCTTGGTCACGCCAAATATGTCTCTTTGGCATCAGGATTATTTGAGGCTGGTTTCTTTGCAGACAGGAAAGCAACTGAAAAGTAGAACTTGCTTACCTTTTTGTTAAGAGATATTTACATTGTAAAAGAACTCTCCATCTGTAAAGATATTTGTAAAGATATCTCCCTTTGTACCTGGAAGAAGGGGAGATGACCTTATCTCTAGAAACTCTTAATGAATGGGGAAGGCAAGGACTTAAATCTGCATTTGTTTATTGTGCTTGTCTGGTAACCTCCTGTAACTGACTTCCCTCCCCCTCCCAACGTTGGCATTTCTTTAAGGATTAAGCATCTTTCCTTAGGCTAGGAACTGATTGTTGCGCTCACCTGTGACCACCCAGCTCAAGACAATAGACTTGGCTCCGGCTACGCCCTCTGAGACAGCAGACCACTACCTGCTGTGTCCATCAAGCACTGTGCTGACAGGGCAATCTTGTGGCTATCGTGGGAGGGACATTTCATCACATGTGAAACACCCTTTTTGGGGGTATATAACCACTCTGTATACCTCACTTCTTCGGTGCCCTTTCTTCCTTCAGGAAGAAAGGCCCTGGGCCATGGTCCTCATAAAACTTTGTTTAATTTTCTCTTGCTATTCTGTCTCATGTAAATTTAATTCATTCTCTGGCCAGACGAACCCAGGTAATGGAGAGGAAAGGTCTTCCTCCCCTACAGGGGGTACACTTAAGGAGAAGTTCAGACACGGCTGTGACTTTTAAGGATCTTTGAAAAAAAAGCAGGTCAACTGAATTTTCAAACGGGACTGGAAAGGGTCAGCTGAAACCAAGCCAGATTTGGGACCGTACTGGGTTGACCTCACTTAGGTCACTTCCATTCCAGGCGCCACAGGAAGAGAAGATATACACAAGCCAAAATAGAGACACAGCCTTACATTTCCTGCATTGATTACAAGAGGTTATAGTAAGTAAGCCTAGCAGAAAAACAGTTGTATACAAATTGTCATCTATGACAGACCTTTTGTCTATATTCAAATTCCAGGGACCCGACCCGTTTTTATTATGCAAAATGCTTACAAATATTGTTTTGTTTCCAAAAGTCAATTTTATAACTTGGCAATTGGTTCTGTAACTAAGAAGTGCTACTGTTCTAGCAAAGAAAGTCAAATACCATCAATTGTCTCCATACCAGATTTATAAAGATTTGAAACTAGAATTAGTACTAAAACTTTAAAATATTTAATTAGGAAATAAATTGGGAATATTAATAACACAAATAAAAATAAATAATTGACCATTATTAGTATATAATAATGTTATGAAAAGTCCTTAGACTTTTTACCATTTAGGGTTAAGTAAAGTCTGGATCATTTAGTTCTGATTCCAGGTAACATCCTTTGCCCAGGTAGAGTGCCTCTCATGCAGTCAGGTTTCTTGAATGTAGTAGGCATCCAGCAATGGTGTCATGTCCCATGAGGCTTTTTAAACAATCTGTGAAATGAAAAGGGAAATCAGTGAAGGGATGTAAGTATACACCCACTCAGAAAGCATGCTGTCGAACTAATCCCACATATTCACTTTTTTTCCACAAAATTATGGCTGGGTGAGTTTTCTCTTTTAACACTTGCTTCCCTGCCGTCTTATTTTTCTAACGTTATATTTGTGGATTGCTAAAGGTTTGAAAACATCCTGCAATTAAGATTGAGCTTTTTCAAAGAAAACTCCAGTAGCATGTCCCAAAGTGTGTGTCAAAGAACCGTTTAAGAGTCCGATGTGACTGGAAAATCCAACATGTGCCATCGCCACTGGGAGGAGTCCCAGTGCTCACCGGCTCGTTACAGACAATCCTGCCACTGAATTAGCCGCTTATGTCTTTCCAACTACCTTGCCCATCACTCAACTCCAAACCTCTCTTAGGAAAGCAAACATTGGGAGATTCTGCTAAAATACAAAAGCATCTCAACCATGAAAACATCAGATCCCTACACAAAATTACACCCTTAAGTAATTTCTGCCCCAGATTGGTTCAAGGTATTTGACAAAATCACTATCAGGGCCAGCCCAGTGGTGCAGCAGTTAGTGCACACGTTTTGCTTCTCGGTGGCCTGGGGTTCGCCAGTTCGGATCCTGGGTGTGGACATGGCACTGCTTGGCAAGCCATGCTGTGGTAGGCGTCCCACATAGAAAGTAGAGGAAGATGGGCACGGATGTTAGCTCAGGGCCAGCCCCCCTCAGCAAAAAGAGGAGGACTGGCAGTAGTTAGCTCAGGGCTAATCTTCCTCAAAAAAAAAAAAAAAAGAAAAGAAAATGACTGTCTAATCATTAGGCGACCTCTAAGCTAACAGAACAGAGACTTATGTGGCTTCACACAACAAAAAATATAGACTTTAGCAAATTTACCCAGGAAAGTCACTAAACTAGTAGCAACACAAACCCTGGGCAGGGCAGGGGCAGAGGTCCGATTTCCAGAGCTGACACATTATAAAATGTCCACTTTCAATAGAAAAATTACAAGCCATGTAAAGAAATATGACATACATACACAGGAAAAAAGCAGCCAACAAAAATTATCCCTAAGAAGTCCAGGTGTTGCACTTAACTAAACAAAAACTTTGTCAGCTATTATAAATACGCTCAAAGAACTAAAGAACAAAAAGAAAGCATGAGAATGATATTTAACTAAACTGAGAATGTGAATAAAGAGATAGAAATTATAGAAAAGAACCAACAGAAATCTGGAAATGAAAGTACAAAAACTGAACTGAAAAACTGATGAGAGGGGTTCAACAGCAGATTTGAACTGACAGAAGAAAGAATCACTGGAATTGAGGACAGGTCAAGTGAGAGTATTATATCCAGTCTGAGAGACAAAGAAAAAAGAATTAAAGAAAATGAACAGAGCCTCAGAGACCTGTGAGATACCATTAAGCATATCAACAAATGCATAACAGGAGTCGCAGAAGAAAAGTGGGGGAGGGGAGGTAAGAGAGGAAAGAGGAGGCTGCATGCACGAACAGGAGCAATAGAAAAAACATTTAAATAATGGCTGAAAACTTCCCAAATTTGATTTTAAAAAATTAATCTGCACATCCAATAAGCTCAATGAGCTCCAAGTATGTAAAATGGCACAATCACTTTGGCAGCCAGCTTGGCAGTTTCTTACAGTTAAACATAGGCTAACCATTTAATCCAGCAACCACATTCCTAGGTATTTAACCAAATTGAAAACGTACGTCCACACAAAAACCTGCATGTGAATGTTTACAGTAGCTTTATTCATAATTGCCCCAAACTGGAAGCAATCAAGATGTCCTCCAATAGATGAATGGATAAACAAACTGTGGTACATCCACAACATGAAATATTATTCAGTGATAAAAAGAAGTGAGCTACTAAGCCATGAAAAGACATGGAGGAAGCTTAAATGCCTATTGATAAGTGAAAGAAGCCAATCTGAAAAGGCTACATACTGTATGATTCCGACTATATGATATTCTGGAAAAGGCAAAACTATAGAGACAATAAAAAAGATCAGTGTTTGCCAGGGAGTGGTGGTAAGGAAGGAACGCATGAACAGGTTGAGAATAGGGCATTTTTAGGGCAGTGGAACTACTCTGTATGATACTGTAATGGTGGTTATGTGATATTATGCATTTGTTAAAACCCACGGAACTGTACGACAAAAAGAGTGACCTTTCATAACTATAATTAATAATAATGTATGGATATTGTTGCATCAATTGTAACAAATGTACCACATTAGTGCAAGTGATTAATAATAGGGGAAACTGTGTGAGGGAGTATGTGGGAACTCTGCACTTTCTGTACAATTTTTCTGCAAACTAAAAACTGCGCTAAAAAATAATCTATTCAAATTGAAAGAAAATGAATCTTCACACTCAGGAAGCTCAATGACTTCAAAAGATGATAAACTAAAAAAAAAATCCACATCTAGGTACTTCAGTTAAACTACTCAAAGACAAAGACTAAGAAAGAATCTTGAAAATGGCAAGAGAAAAGTGATTATACAAGCGTCATAAAAATTATGAATAGCTTCAAATCAGAAACAATGAAGACCAGAAGATAGTAGATAACATATTCAGTGAGCAGAAAGAAAAGATCTTCAATGAAGAATTCTATAATCAGCAAAATTATCATTCAGAAACAATGAGAAATTAAGAAATTCCCAGATAAACAAAAGCTAAAAGAATTCATCACTAGCAGACCTGCCCAAAAGAAATACTAAACAGAGTCTTTTGGGCTGAAATGAAAGGATGTGAGATAATAACTCAAATCCACATGAAGAAATAAAAAGCAGCAGTAAAAGTATATACATATGAAATGTAATTTTCTTTGTAAGTCTTTTCATATGAAATTTAAAAGACAACTGCATAAAGTAGTTATTATAACACTGTGTTGACAGGCTTGTAATGTATAGAAACGTAATTTACATAATAATCATACAAAGGAGGGGAAGGGAACAGTTATAGTGCAGCAAAGGTTTTGTATACTATTAAAATTAAGATGGCATTAATCTAAAATGAAATGTTTAAAGTTTAGAAATTTTTTTTTGTAATTCCCAGGGCGATCACTTAAAAAAATAACTAAAACACATATAGCAAAGGAGACATCAAAGGAATTAAAATAGGATCAGCAAACCAGGTTTTTTAAAAATGATCCAACAATATGATTCTACAAGAGACACGATTTAGATTTGGAGACACAATTAGGCTGAGATAAAGGAATGCAAATAGATATTATGTAAAAAAATAGCCAAAAAAGGGCTAGAGTAACTATACTAATACCTGACAAAATAGACGTTAAGACAAAAATTAGAAATAAAGGATATTTTATAATTATGAAATGGATAGAAGAAGGTCAACAAAGAAACAGAAGACTTGAACAACACTATAAACCAATTAGACCTAACAGACATTTATAGAACACTGTACCCAACAAGAGCAAAATGTACATTCTTCTCAAGAACACACGGAACATTCTCCAGGATATGCCATATGCTACAGCATCAAACGAGCCTCAATAAACTTAAAAAGACTGAAATCAAGAAACATATGTCCTTTCACTACAAAAGAATGAAATTAGAAATCAGTAACAGAAGGAAATTTGAGAAGTTCACAAATACGTGGAAATTAAACTATACACTCCTAAATAGAGTCATGTGTCGCTTAATGATGGAGATACATTCTGAGAAGCGCATCATTAGGCGATTTCGTCCTTGGGCAAACATCATAGAAAGTGCTTACACAATCCTAGATGGTATAGCCTACTACACACCTAGGCTCTATGGTACAACCTGTTGCTTCTTGGCTACAAACCTGTACAGCATGTTACTGCACTGAATATGCAGGCAACTGTAACACAATGGTGAGTATTTGTGTATCTAAACATAGAAAAGATACAGTAAAAATACAGTATGAAAGATAAAAAAATGATATTCCCGTCTAGGGCACTTGCCACAAATGGAGCTTGCAGGACTGGCAGTTGCTCTGCGTGAGTGGGGGGAGAATGTGAAGGCTAGGACATCACGGTGCACGACAGTGACTTTACTAACACTGTACACCTAGGCTACACTAAATTCGTATAAAAATGTTTTTATTTCTTCAATAATAAATTAATCTTAGCTTACTGTAACTTTTTTACTTTACAAACTTTTTCATTTTTTTAAAACTTTTTGACCCTCTTGTAACAACACTTAGCTTAAAACGCAAACACATCGGATAGCTGTACAAAAATATGTCCTTTCTTTATGTCCTTATTCTATACGCTTTTCTCTATTTTTAAATTTTTTCTACTTTTTCAAATTTTTGTTAAAAACGAAGACACAAACACACACATTAGCCTAGGCCTACGCAGGGTCAGGATCACCAATATCACTGTCTTCTGCCTTCACATCTTGTCCCACTGGAAGGTCTTTGGGGGCAATAACACACACGAAGCTGTCATCTCCTATGACAACAATGCCTTCTTCTGGAATACCCCCAGAGTACCTGCCTGAGGCCCTTCTTGAGGAGCTGTCACTCTTTTAAAAAATATGCCCATGGTGGTTTGCTTCCTTTTTTTTTTACCACAGATTTGCTTGTAAGCAAGATAATGCACCAGGAACGTTCCTCTCTATTAACGAAAACCTTTTTGGTGTGGGGTCCATGTTATCAAACTTTTGAAGGAGTTTGTTGAGGTCTGCAAAAGCTTCTGATAAACCCTTCATTGTGAATTTTCTTGGCAGCTTTTCTTCTTTTTCTTCTCCTGTACTTTCCTTTCTCGTGCCTCTTCTTGAGCTACATGTTCCTGTTCCAGTTCCAACTCCTCATTAGTCATTTCCTCAGGAGCTCCTCAGCGTCACGCTCATCCACATCCAGATTAAAGTTGTTTGCCATCTCAACCAGTCTTGTTGATT